TTGATAAGCAACAAGCCAAGGCCCCGCATCCCTCCTGCCGCCGCTTAGTTCGTGCTGCCCAGCGTCTTGCAATCGGTTGGAGAAAACAGGTGGATAGGATTGCAGCCAACGATAGTAGGACGTTAGAGCCGCCAACTCTGGTCTCCACCCGGGCGGGCAGGTGAGCGAAACCCCGAAAGCTTTTGTGTTCCTTTGCAAAGAGAAGATGCCGATGGCGCATGGCCCGGGGGAGGGAAAGACAGTTCCGGAGGGAGGCAGCCACGCAGCCAGAAGCCGGCGGTCCCAGCGGAGCGGCACGGAAGACCTACTGGTTGGTGTGGGAGGCTCCAGCGTTGCCGGTGAGCAAGGCCTGGTGTCCGCAGCCCAGTTCCGCACCCCGATGACCAGCTGGACCAGCTTTCACTGCTTCTTTGCAAACGAAGGCAAAAGGTTTCGGGGTTTTGCTCGCCGCTTAGTTCGTGCTGCCCAGCGTCTGCCTGCCTGCCTGCCTGCCGGCCTCCGTGCTCCTTCCCCGAAGCATGCAATTGCTCAGAGCCCGTCCCAAAAGGTGCTGCTTCCCTGGCAGGAGCCGAGTTTGCAAGCCTCGTTGGCAAGCCGGGAAAACCGAAGGTCCGGAGGGTTCCCTCCTGCTGCGGAGCTGCAGTGCCTGGCCGTGGGCTGAGGGGGGAGGGGTGGGGGGTATCCGGGGCCTAAAAAGTCCTCCAGGACAGGCTCGGGGCCGGCCCTCTTTCCCCGGGTGCAGGAGAAGGGGAGGCGCAGGCTCTCCACCTGGGNTGCCCGCCCGGGTGGAGAGCCTGCGCCTCCCCTTCTCCTGCGGCCGGGGAAAGAGGGCCGGCCCCGAGCCTGTCCTGGAGGACTTTTTAGGCCCCGGATACCCCCCACCCCTCCCCCCTCAGCCCACGGCCAGGCACTGCAGCTCTGCAGCAGGAGGGAACCCTCCGGACCTTTGGTTTTCCCGGCTTGCCAACGAGGCTTGCAAACTCGGCTCCTGCCAGGGAAGCAGCACCTTTTGGGACGGGCTCTGAGCAATTGCATGCTTCGGGGAAGGAGCAGGGAGGTCTGCAGGCAGGCAGGCAGGCAGGCAGACGCTGGGCAGCACAAATTAAGCGGCAAGCAAAACCCTGAAACCTTTTGCGTTTGTTTGCAAAGAAACAGTGAAAGCCGGTCCAGCTGGTCGTCGGGGCGCGGAACTGGGCTGCGGACGCCAGGCCTTGCTCACCGGCAATGCTGGAGCCTCCCACACCAACCAGTAGGTCTTCCGTGCTGCTCCGCTGGGACCGCTGGCTTCTGGCTGCGTGGCTGCCTCCCTCCGGAGCTGTCTTCCCCCCCCCGACCATGCGCCACCGGCGTCTTCTCTTTGCAAAGGAACACAAAAGGTTTTGGGGTTTTGCTCGCCTTCCCGCCCGGGTGGAGACCAGAGTTGGCGGCTCTAACGTCCTACTATCGTTGGCTGCAATCCTATCCACCTGTTTTGTGCAACCGATTGCAAGCCAAGCGCTGCCTGGTTCTGAATTAATAGCTTGGGGGGGAGCGTGAAGCCCACTGAACTGCGTGATCCCAATGACCGAGCTGACTTTGCAGGAGCCTCCATCGGATTGGAACTTTCCTGTCCGATTGAACTTAGTTAAGGCAGGGCCGTTCTTAGTGTGGTGTTCACATGTTAGTGGGGCTGACTAGTTCTCTGGCAAGGGTGCCGCGCTCCGGCCTTCCTCCAAAGCGCCGTCCTCGGAGGGGTAGTTCAAGGCACCACTTTCAGCCGGCTCCTTTGGCGCGGCCCCAATTCTGCTCCGGGGAAATGAGGGCTGGGCGGAGTGGGGCAGCGCTGCCTATCTCAGTCACGTGGAGGGCCGTATAAACACCACCAGATGGCTCCGCAGTTACCGCCGGGGGAGATGAGCAGGTGGTTGCTCCCGCGGTCACCTTCCCGCTGCTATGGAAGATAGCCTGGTCTGCACCTTTGGGGGCCTCAGCCTCCAGCAGCCCTGCCGTGCCCAAGGCAAGCCCCCCCACTCACCGCTTCAGCAAAGGGGGGAGAGCAGTCTTTTCCGAGGGGAGGTGAAGCCAGGACGGCAGAGCCGTCCATACCAGAGCTGGATGTGTTGCCTTAGGCTCCACTCTTCAATCAAGCCCCGTTACGGAAATGGGTCCAAGTGGCTCTTTCACCATTTTAGGTTGCCGACCCCTGGGTTAGACTTTTCTCTCTTACTTAGATTTATCATTCTAAATCTACCTTTTCTCCAACTGAAGAAAGGCCTTATATTTAACAACTATTATTCAGCTAATGATTTAGATGTAGACTTCAAACAATTCCAACTACTGAAATAAGATCTGATATTTTAATAGCTCGTTTTTAAGCCCGGGTTAGGGTTGCCTTTCCTCTCTTGTCTGTGGGATGACAAATAGTGTTTCATTTTTCAGTAACCTTGCCAGGCTATATTGATAGATGCTACATAAGGGCAGTTCTGAGTATGTTGGTCTTTGACAAAAAAAAGACTGAGAATATACTGGGATGAAGCGTATATAATGAAGCATAGCAAGACTGCATAGCACATACCATCATTTTTCCTGGTGAAATGGCACTTTTGCTCATTTATTTCCTTAAGACAAGCAAATGTTAGTGTTCTTTTTCTTACAGAAAGTTCAGCTTTGTCAAGCCAACAAATAGTATTACAAAATTTCTTGCAAGAGTATATTCAGTTTTATGCTTGGTCCCATTCCTTGGTTCCATCCCAGGTACCACATCTTTTAGCAGAGGATTTCCCTTTTAATGATGAAGGCTTTCTTCATTATACAAAGGTGGTGCCATGAAATGAATGTAGAAACTGAAAATGGAAGGGTATGAGATAAAAATGTTTAGAAACTCTACAGCATAACAGGTCTTACTTTTCAGAAATGCTTCCTCTCTTACCAGTCACAAGCATCCTAAGGAGGACACCGTTCAATCTGCTGCAACAATCAGCTATTCCAATAGTAAGGCAGGGTGAGTTGTTAAGAGTAGATGAGATTGTACTCACCATCTAGTTTCAGCAAATGCTCTAGGATTGTCATTATGCTGTAAGAGTATCTAGTCTGGTCCACTCTCAGCACATGTCAAAAGTCTTCCAGACTATATTGGTTAGGGCTACATAAATAATCTGAGAGAAATCTCTGTACTGGCCAGAAGTATTCTGAAGCACAGAATTGCTTCATTCAGTTGAACTTGAGTGGCCTTTTAGTTTGACAGAGCAAATCAGAACACTTCCGTGACCATATCAAAATAAGACTATGTTGCTTCACTACAACCAAGTATGAACAGTGATGAACAACACCACTACAGTCTTTATATAGGCAAACATAGTAGACCTAGTTTCTGCTCTTTCTAGTAGTATTGGTACTTCAAGGGGACAGTGATTCAATTTACAAATAGCAACAAGCATCATGCAAAAGCACTATAGTAGACATATAACACTATCTGTTATCTTCATCCCTACTTTTTAGAATGGGAATTGTCAAACTGGACCATGTCCAAGATGATAAGGGATTTAAAAGAACAATTTATGAGGAATCATTAGAGAAGACTGCAGGAAAACATGATTATTGTGAAAGGATTTGAAGGAGGATCATTGTAGAAAGGTGGAGAAATTTCCAGTATTGTGCCAGAAGACAGGAGACAAATTGGGATTTCAACTACAAAAGAAGTAGATGTTAGTTGGAATCAGGGGGGAAAATTCTTTATTCTTGAACTATTCACCAGTGGAACAGATTATCCTGTGAAATGGTAGACTCTCCTTCACTGGAATTACTTAGGCTGGATCACCATCTATCAGGAATGCTGTAATTGTGGATTAATGAGCTAAGAGGTTTGACCAAGGTCTATTGAAATCCTTATATTCCACGATTCTATGAATAAAGATTTTGGCTGCCTCAGGAAGTTTTCTACTAGGATAAAAAAATTGCAGTTCATTGCAGGATTAACTGCTGACTCTGTTTAGTTATATTTTCAGTTTCTTTTTAGTATAAGATCTTTCATCTCTCCATATGTGTTTTCTAGTGATCTCTCTGTAGATCACCTGCCAGTTAATTCATGGAGCACAGACTAATTCATCCAAACACAAAACATTTCCTTAAGGAACTAATTATTCTGTTTTAGTCTATATTCTTGCAGACGTTCCTGACTCTGAAGTAGGGCTTGTCAGTAACTATTACTGGTTTTGATCTCAAGTCCCTTTCAGCCCTGCAGTTTTCAGAGTAAAATGAACTACTTTTATCTTTTAAAATAGCCTTAGATCAGGGGTCCCCAACCTTTTGGGCACTAGGGCCCAGTTCGGTGGAGAGAGATTTTTCCGCGAACCTGAGGGTGCGTGGTTTTGTGTGCTGCCTGCATCCTGTGGATGGGGCTTTGCTTGTTTGTGCAGACCGGTTGTTGGCATGCCACAGCTCGGTACTGGTCTACAGACTGAGGGGTTGGGGACCCCTGCCGTAGATGATTGGATGGTATACAAAAATTAAAAACCAAATAGAATAAAATTCAGCAATCCAAATAACTAAGGTTGGAAAAAACAAACATTATATAAGTCATCAATTAACTAGTGGAATTTGCTCACATCTTAGCCCAAATGCCTAGGAGAAATTCTTTGTTTAGCTGCTTCATGAAATTGCTAGAAATAAGTCTCTGATGACAGCAATGCACTGTCTATATGGAAGCAATTTCAGTAGCTTCCGTATATTTGGTGGTTTCTTATATACAATCACAGTATTCACATTTTCCCACATGGTAGACAACCATTTTAAAATATTAGCAATTATAACTGTAGAAGCGCATTTCTAAAAATTACTCAGATAATCCTGATACAATGAAAAATGAAATTTGATTGCCACCCTTCTTAATGATGCTGGATTGCCAGTCTACTGATTATGCTGGATGATGACTCATGGCAATAGAATTCATAGGTTCTGTATTCTGATTTCATAAGTTAATAAAAGAAAGAGATTGCTTATATCCATTGTTATTTGAAATGTAGCAACAGAGAAGAGAGCGCGAAGTTAGAAGACAGCAAGAACGGGAACAAAGGAGGAGAGAACAGGAAGAAAAAAAACGATTGGAGGAGCTGGAAAAAAGGCGGAAGGAAGAAGAAGAAAGGAGGAGAGCAGAGGAAGAGAAGAGAAGAGTGGAGAGAGAGCAGGTAAATCTGAAACAGCATGAATCAATTATGTATGGTTTTCCTTCCTTCCTTCCTATTAGTATAGGAAACACTAAGGAAATGATTGGATACAGTTTAAAAAAGTATCTTCCATTGATCTGGTGTCTTCATTGTGTATTATTAGTATAGTCATTCCCTGTCAGTGTAGCCACACATTAAGAGCAGACTAGTTTGGGGAACCTGGTTAGGAATATGGGAAAATCTGAACTAATGTTTTATGATGGATTCCTGATTCCGGGCAGTAAGTTTCTTCCACAAGTCGCAACATGTAAGTATAGTAATAGACTTACTTTATCTGCTTATACTGAAGCAAATGACTTAGTTCAATGGTTTACATGCATGTATTTTTCAAAACTTATCAGTATTTGTTCTTGAAAATACTACATTAGTTTCTCAGTCTCATACATGAATTTTGCCTGTTTGAAATATAATTTGTGTATATGACAGAAAGTAAGGATATTCATATTGGAAAAAGTAATTTTCAGGAAATATAGTAAGTACTAAGAACATCACTGTGCTATTTAAAATTTATTGTATTCTGCTGTAAAGTTTATTTGGGCTTTGATGTCAAACAACATGTAATATATAATGGAATTTTGCAGAACATGTAATAATAGAAACGTTTTAGACTTGTATGAAATACTGCACTTAACAGTCATTCATGTAGTTTAGCTTCCCTGAACTTGGTATCTTCCAGAAAGTTTGGAACTGCAATTCCCAGAACTGCTGGGTGAGAATGCATTTGGAGGGGCTAGATTGGGGAAAGTTTGTCCCAACTTAATTTTGGGAAATACACATGCAGAAACAGTCACTCGTATAAAACAGATTAAAAAAATTGTTCTCCCTGAGTAACTTATTTGGGTCTTAGGAAATCATATTTTCATGTAGCTGAAGAAGTGCATCAACCATCTGCCATTATTGTTTGCATGCAGCTAGAGAAGTATTGTTAACACACACTCTCCAAAATGTACAGATAGTCCATGATTTACAACCCATTTGTTTAAGAACTGTTCAAAGTTATGACACAACTGAAAAAAGTGACCTATGACTGGTCGTCACACTGCAGCATCCTTGCGATCATGTGATTAGCAGTCGGCATGTGCTTACAATGGTTGCAGCGACCAAGAGTCATATGATTGCCATTTATGGCCTTCCCTGGTCTATGAGCAAAATCAATCGGGAAACCTGGATTCACCTAATGATTACAGTATTTGCTTAATGACCATAGTAAAAGTCATAAAATTAGGTGCACCTCACTTAACCACATCACTTAGTGGTGGAAGTTCTGATCCCAATTGTGGTCAAGTGTCAAGGACTACCTGTATTGCTGGCATTGATAGATTTGTTAAAAAAAACATATTGCTACAAAACGTTAACTCCACTTAATTCTGGGTATGCAAGGATTGTATAACTAGCTCCTATGCACCTTTTTTTGTTTTGAAAGATTTCAAGCAGTTTCATTTTGCCATTGCATTGCGTTATTAATTCCTTTTGTGTTCATTGTCTTTTTCATGTGTGTTTGAGTGCATGTGTTTACTTTTCCTCATTAATTCGCACGATAGGATGTTCTTAGCTTTGGATATGTTGCTGCATATTTTGACTTGGCTTAGGAATCCAGACTTCTGGAGTGTCACTGAAAATGCATTTGGAGTTATATCTTTCTCTAGTGGATGTCTGTTTTTTTATGTTCTGTCATAACCACCACATACTTCAGATTGGCATTGTCTGTGTTGATGATGAGGCTAGGATCAATTTATAGTTGAGGTTAAGGTTCCAATTGAGAGATTTTTTTGATGGAAAGCTTGCAAAAGGGATGCCTTAACTAAGCCTGGCTCTAGCTGTTGCTCATGGTTCATCACAGGTGCAAAACTAATTATTTTATTAAAAATGCATGTGACTTTGTGTTGGCTGTGTTGATAAGACTTGCTAGTATTAACTACCACCCTGTTTTTAAAAAATCATTTGCTTGTTTTTAAGTCAAAATTCTACAGGCAAGATTAATTTTTCCTACCCCACATTTCTTCTTCTTTTCAGTTAATTTTTTGGAGGGAGGGTTTATAATGGATTTTTTTCTGTCCTTACTTTAGCTGATAGGGTTTAATTTAATTGTTCTTTAGGTAGTCCCATTATTAAATTTATTATTGAATTGTCACCTGAAGGTGAATTGGGATAGGTGGCATTTTTGTTTTTCTTTTGTGTGGTGTTGTACTCAGGTGCTTTGGATACATTCCTGTTGTGAACAATTTTATTGCTGGGTAATTTCTATGTGACAGGAGTATATCAGGCGACAGCTAGAAGAGGAGCAGCGGCACCTGGAAATTCTTCAGCAGCAGCTGCTCCAGGAGCAGGCCATGTTACTGGTAAAGCACTGTATCTGTTTTGTTAGTAGCTACTGTATGGGATTGCTTTCTCTGACCGGTGTCCCAGATTGTCTTTAAATGGACACAGCTGAACTTTATGCACAGTAGAGCCTGGCACAAGAGCTAATCATCCTACAGTGTATTGGGCTGGCAGACCTATGTGAACCATGCTGTATGATAATCTGACAAGCCAATAAGTGAAGTTTTTTCCCCCCCTAAGTTAAAGAAGTTACAGTTTGGAATTGACTTTCTGAACAACCTTTCTCAAAAGAACAAGAGTGCAGGCCATGTATTTTATTAAATATTGGATATAAAAGTCAGGGTACTGTGTTCTTTTTGGCCCTCCCATTTCCCCCACCACAACAAAACCACTCTATCCTTCATGGCAAAATAGATTTATGACTGTGCCGATCACAATAGTTTAAATAATATTATGCCTGTAAGTAGTGTAAAATGCTTTATAAATTAGGGGGAACCTTGTGCTCTATTTGAATGTAAATTTGAAGTTTGGTATATTTACTTACACTGCAACTGCAGCAAAATGTATAATCACCAGAAGATAAGCAAGTGCCTGCCAGCATGTTGTTCATATTTTGACCTGTTCTCTCAAAGGAATACAGATGGCGAGAGATGGAGGAACACCGACAAGCAGAGAGGCTTCAACGTCAGTTGCAACAGGAACAGGCATATCTTTTGTCACTTCAGCATGATCACAGGAGGCAGCAACAACAGCAACAACAACAACAGCAACAACAGCAACAACAGCAGCTCCAGCAGCAAGAAAGGAATAAACAAAACTATCATACCCCTGAGCCTAAATCCCATTATGAGCCTACTGAAAGGCCTCGGGAGGTAAATTCTGTCTGAAATTATTAGAACCAGTACTGTTTTTAAAGTATCTATCATAATGTATATAAAGACCACCTTCCCATAAGAATGTCAAGAGAGGAAGATGAGTGTGTCCCATTACCAGTCTTGGAAGAAAAGGACAATTTTTAAATATACTTTTACAGAATGTATATAATTTCCTTTTATAGAGCACAAGCAGGTAGCATGTGACCAATTTCTATGTTTGAGGATTACCCAGGAAAAATACATTGGGGACCAGCAATTTAGCCCATAAAATCTCTTCACTTCTCATATAGCATTCAAAACAATAGGTAAAATAGCTATATTACACTAAAGTCACATGAAATTTCTTAATTGCTTAAATGCTGTGTTGCAGTCACTTCTGAAGAAAAACCTCTAGTCAATGTACAAATCAATTTGCTTAACTTTTAGCAGTGACAGGTCCGTCGTGACTGGTAAGATTTGGATTAAATAAAGCCTATTAAGATGGAGAGGGAAATATCTCATTTATGTTATTTTATATATTTTATGGTCAGAAATAACAGGTCTTCTACACACCATTCATTAGTGATTATTGTATTGTGGCATAATCTATACTGGCCAATGGCCTCAATAAAGATTTTATATTGTATTAATTCATAATAAAACTGATGACAATGTGATAGTTTACCAAATAGTTTCATGGATGTAAAACCATGTTTTGGGTGCAACTTTATTGCTACATTAAAGTTTTGAGAACAACTTCTAGAGAAATTTGAAGATTGCTCTTAAGGCTTAAGGAAGGTCCAAGTTTTAACAAGCTTCAACCTTGTTTAATTTCAAAGTCCAAATAAGGGTAGCTAACTACTGCTACTGCTGGGATAATTTCCACTAAAATACATTTTTCTCAAAAAAGCCATGTGATAATTTGTGTTGTCTGCAGATTAACATTAATCATACCATGTTGAATTGATGCTGGACACTGACCATTATATGGAAGAAAATGTATTTATTTTATTGTATTTACAGTATAATCCATCCCAATCCCAAAGAGCAATGGGCAATAGTAGAGATGAGCATACTGTCATATTGAGCTGAGAGCTACATAAAGCTTGAGATTCTAGATTACTAGTGTTATTTGTAGTGAGTGCAATCTGTTTAGTTGACCAGAAACATGATACTTGTAGTTTCTAAATTTCTAAAAATCATCTTTTCATTATATCAGTTGATTCCACATATGGCTTTTTTTCTTTCCAGGTTGATGACAGATATAGAAAGAATAATCAGAGCTCCCCAGAAGCCCAGTCTAAACAGGGAAGCAAAGTGTTAGATCCACCAGTGCCTTCAAGATCAGAGTCCTTTTCAAATGGAAATTCCGAGCCGGTTCAGCCATCATTGCAAAAACCAATGGAATCACAGGTAAAATCCTTGTGAAATGTATGATGATGAGATCGGGAGAACAAAGAAGAGTTGGGAAGTAACATATATGGAAACCAACAGATTACATTACACCGGTATTTGTATGATGCCATAAGAGAAAACACTTTTCCATATTTGTGTGTGAGGGACTCTCTTATTGTTCTCCCTGGTAAGCTAACACTTCATTGACATATACTCTCAGTAAAAAATATATTTTTCATATCTTTCCTTGGCATTTCTTAAAATTGTAGAGAATGTTATTTTTATTTCATTCCTTCTGAATTTGACATTTTGAAAGAAAAATTCTATCTACTGCTTTTCTATTTCATAAAACTGACTTTTCATCACATGGATTAGCAGTGGTTAAAATAGAATCTTACCCCTGTTTAATGCATTTTCCTACAATTTTCTTAAGATAATAGTTGAATTAACTAGGGTAAAGGGACACTATTTCTGCCTCAGGGACATGTTCAGTTTCTGAAAGCCTTGAATCGAGTTCCCAGAATCCTCCAGAGGTTGCTACTGGAAGGCTAGTGTTAACTATCTGACTTAATCATTAAAAGTATTAATTCATTCCAACTTAATTAAAGAGAAATGAAAATAAAATAATATTTAATTTTGTTTCTATTCTCCATTTAAAAGCATACTTGCTCTGGCAAAATGAAAATACTGAATGAGAATTTTTTCAAGCAGGTGGATTCAATTTCCAAACTTAAAGCAGTGCCCAAAGATCAATCAATGTGTGATCAGTTTTCTAATACAGCTTGCTTTCTCAAGATAACATTGGAGAGACAATGATCTCTCCAAGAGATTCAATAATATAGGTTACTATGTATTTAAAAACAATTATAGTGACTGGATTTTTGTATAGATCCATCTGATAGGTTTGTCTTTATAAAACAATATGTGATTGTTGACAATTGGCAATAGTAAGTCAAAAAAAAAATACCATATGGTCATTGTAATTGTCAAAAATACCTAATTATTTCTGACTAGGAAAATCTTTTGGAAATTTTTGGGGAAAATTATGTTAAGAAAAAATAAACTAGTTATTTGTCATAATTAATAATGTTCAGTTTAAAAAACTATTTAAAAGAAAGAGTTCTTTTAAAATCATTATAGTCTTCTAAAATATATTTTTATGTAATACATTTATGCTATAGGCAGCTCTAAATTTACAAAAACTTCCTTTAGCTATCCTTTCTCTTAATACATTTTCCTAGTAATTTTCTGTGTATTCCTATCCTGTTTCTTTATTATGTATCCTTTTCTTTCTAGAATTCTATGAAACTTAGTTAGGTTTCATGTTTGAACAGCTTCTGATACTAAAGAAAAAATATGGGCATAGTATAGTATAATTCTATAGGTGCAGTAATAAATTATTATTCTAAAGTTTACTTGCATATGACAGTAAAGTGCATATGATCATATTTTTGTGGTCTCTAATGTGCATATATGTAAATGTATAGTGTATGCATATATCACATATTACGTGATCTTTGTGTGTGCATTGAGTGTGTGCATATGTGATGTTTACACTGTATATACACACACATACATGCATACATTCACCAGAGCACATATATAAACCAGTACATATATTTGCTGAAAAATAAACAGTGCCTTTTAATTTCATGTAATTCTTCCATATGTCTAAATCAGGGGTAAGCAACCTTGGCTCTTTTATGACTCGTGGACTTCAGCTCCCAGAATTCCTGATCCAACTATGTTGGCTCAGGAATTCTGGAGTTGAAGTCCACGAGTCATAAAAGAGCCAAGGTTGCCTACCCCTGGTCTAAATGCAACATATTTCACATTCTGAATATACCAGTAAATTGTTTCAAAGCCATTGTATTTACCAGCTTTTTGGTTACTTCTATTTACTCCTACTACTCCAAAATTTGATCCTTTTATTGATGTTTTAAATTTGGTGTAGGGCATGTTTGGAACTTTGACCACATGTTAGAACAAGTGGGATTTTCTGTCATTCCCTTCCATGAACCTGTATGTTCAGAATATGCTTTCCGACATGCCAGTACACTGTGTTCATAGCTTTTCATGGTCTCTAAGCATCTTCCTTGCTTTAAGCCCGTTGATTTCATCATGTGTTTGCCTTGCTTCATACCGCTGATGTGACCACCCTAGTAGCTAAATCCTTCTTGCCTTTTATTCTGTGTTTAATTGGGAAAAGTCAGTTGTACAGAACGCATTGAATGTTCTATGTTTTTTTTTTTTGTAAGGTACAGTGGTCTCATCTGGCATCTCTCAAGAACAATGTTCCCCCTGTCTCACGGTCCCATTCCTTCAGTGACCCTTCTCCCAAATTTGCACATCACCATCTGCGCTCTCAGGACCCATATCCACCTTCACGCAGTGAAGTGCTAAATCAAAGTTCTGACTCTAAATCTGAGGTACCTGACCCCACCCAAAAGTCTTGGGCTAGATCAGACAGTGACGAGGTTCCTCCAAGGGTAAGAAATAGAAAGACAGAAGTTTGACTTTTTTAAACCAAAGAATAACAGAAGGCATGTGCTAGGTATTTAATTAATGAATGCACACCTGTAGAATATCAGAAACAGGCTTTTAATATGTTCATATGCCACCCTGGGGATTTTTTTTTAAAGGGTGGTATATAGTAATAATCCTTCTCCTCCTCTTCGTCATTTTTTTTTCAAGAAGAATTTGCCTTTGAAAGTAGATAAGGGATTACAGAAAATTGAAGATCAGCAAAAATGTATAAGCTGTCTACTATTCATAAATAAAATATTTATCATACAAAAGGTAATATCCAAGAAAACACAAACAAAAAAATCATAGCCAAAAGTTATTTTTCATCCTTTAATTAACTTAAGTCAGTAAATATTTAAGATACTATTGACCACAAAAACATTTTTAATGTGATTTACTTTTATCAGATATAATCTTGCTTTCCTTCTAGTCTGCCTTTTACTGATTCATTACTAAGCATTTGTTGGTTCCTTAGAGCTTAATTTTCTAAATCCCCATGCTATTGTAGCCTATTGCTTTGTAAATCTCTTGCTTTAAAGTTCTATGTTCTGTCATGATCGTCTGTGAGTGGATAGTTATTTGTTTCTATGCTAGCTATTTACTAAATGTCCTATTTTTTCAGCATCTTAAATGCAGTCCAACTGGATTTATGGATTCTATAGTTGATGAACATTTTAACCAATAGAATTACTTTATTTAGGTACTAGTAATATAGCTTTATATATTTAGTAATATATCTGTGTATATATTTATGTATATCTTTACAGGAGCAAAAGAAATATAGTTTTCCACATGCAACATTATATTAATTATTTTTATTTCCCCTTGTTTATTCCATAAGGTACCAGTGAGAACCACATCCAGATCACCTGTGCTATCCCGCCGAGATTCTCCACTACAAAGCACGGGGCAGCAAAATAACCAAGCAGGTCAAAGAAACTCCACGAGGTTTGTAATGTTTTCTTCCTGACACCAAGGTTGAGGGAGAAAGCACTCTGGAATCCCATCTTCACTCAGAATATAAGATTTGAGCTGTATTGATTTTTTTAAGCCAAAGCCTGCTATAGCTAAGCAATCTCAAAAGGTGTATTTATACCTTTAGGAAGTAATAACATCTTAATGACTTCCCAGCACCATTTATATAAATAGGATTTCCTTCTGAAGAACTGTGCTAGGTTATCATACTTCAGCCTCTTTTTAAAATATATTTAATATGTCAGAATAGTAGCAAAAATAATAATTTACTTATTATTTAACTTCACTGAAATGCCAGAAATGATTGCAGAAACCTGTCTGTTACATTGACCAGTTTTAATCCATCTCCTCTTTAATTCTGTTTAATTATGACAATTCAGTGGAGCATTTTATGGGCTAAAGTAACTTACATCTGCTCCCTCAGATACCAAAGTTATAGCAGTTTCTAATCATGTCTGTTAAACCTGTTTTGTGATTTTGTCAGCTTGTACAGATTGAGAATGTGGATTCTATGTATGATCAGTCTCTTAGGCAATGCATAATTGCATTAGCTTTATTGTCTAAATTAGTCATAAGAGACTTGCTAGAGTAGGTGACAAATGTGTTGAATTTGCAGTGAGACCTTCATCAAAAAAAATCCCTCCTTTGATTTAATCATATTAAAATACAAGCGCATTTTGATGTTTCTCATTTTTTAGCAAGAAGGGTATGGTGATTTTAGCTTTAGTCATTTGTAGAGTAACACATTAAACTCTAGCTTAACCTCTAGAGATTGTAGAGCTTATTTTAGAATATAGATTGCATTTTCCCAGACCCACAAATGACAGAGCAGTTTATTTTTATTTTGTCATCAGCCCCAAGAAAATTACTAGACCTTTAGGCATACAGTATATCATGTGACAGGCTGGATCAGGATCAACATATTTATTCAGTTATTTTATATCCTGCTTTTTCCCCAAGGGCTCAAGGCACTATACATAACATTTCATTGTTCAGTTTTTCCCACAACCCTGTGAGGTAGTTTGAGCTTTGCTACAGTCATTCAGTGAGCTTTCAATGGCCAAAGATCATACACTCTTAAAAAAAAAGAAAGAAAAAAAATCACAATCTGTTGGAGTACCCCATAATCCAACATTTGAATGTGATTAGTTGGAAATGATAGTCTGCACTACAATGGGCTCCAGTTTAGACTGGTAGAGTACATGGTCAATTTTTCTTCAGTTGTATCACAAGTGGATCACTGTAATATACTATATCTGGACTGTCTTTAAAGAATCCTATAAATTTATACTGATCCAGACTGTAGAAGCAAGTATGTTAATGGATATATAACAATGCATTGATGTTATATTAATATTCCTTTCTGTATTTATTGCTAGTTTGCTTCTTGGCATACATTAGTATTGTGATTACATTTACAAGTAGTCCTCAATTTACAATCCCAGTAGACCCTAGAATTTTTGTTGTAAATCACTGTGATCATAAATTGAGTCACCATGATCATTAGTCCAAAGCCAGCTTATCCAATAAGCAATCTTTTTTTGCCAGAAAGTGGCAAAATAACATTGCAAAATGTAATCATGTGACTGTGGGATACTGCAACTGGCCATAAATGTGAACTGGTTGTCAAATACCAGAAATGCAGTCACAAGATTGCAGGAATGGTCCAAAAGTCTTAACTGCAATGAAGGCTATAAGTAGCTTTTTTCAAATTCATCATAATTTTGAAAGTTCTTAAGCAACTGTAAGTCCTCAATAAGTTGAGAACTACCTGGATAACACTAAATAGCTTGGATTCTAGAGACCCAACATAATACCTCATAATAACCTGAAGATATCATATGAATATATATTTTAGTAGATAAAGAAGAATGTGGACAAGAACACCATCCTTGCTTCTCTCCAACTTTTAAAAGTCAAGAGAGAAGCTAGCAGAAAACTAGCTTGCAATTGCTTGAATGCAACTGTTGTTCGAATTCAAAAACATTCCTGAATAGTTTATGTAGATTCTTAATCATCTAGGTCATAATTGTCCCAAAGATGCTTTTTCGGGAGGCAACTGGACTTCTTTGTTTTTCTTTGAAGACATTTTGGTTCTCATCCAAGAAGCTTCTTCAACTCTGACTGGATGGTGGGAAATGGAAGGATTTATACTCCTTGCAGACAGCTTGTCATTTACATTCTTTTGGAGAGTTCTTGAGGCCACATCTTCAAAGATGCTACTATTGCAAAAAAGAAAACAAAGCCACTGTTAGAAGGATCCAAAATAAATAAGAAAATGTTTTTGAAACATTTGAAACAGAAAAGGGGCGTTGGTCTTACCTGAACGCCTTTTCTCAGCATGACGATGGAGAATCCACCAATGGGTTTTCCTCGTCTTCTGCCCGTAGACTAGTCGGCCAATTTGCTCCGCCTCTCCTCCTGGGACCTCCCTTCCCCAGTCTCGACGAGGCGAAAGCTGCTTGGCTATGTTTTCTTGTGTTGACTCCATCCTCTCCCCTCACAGGACCTGATAGTTATAGTTATAAAAAAGGCAGAAACTTGTCCACCCCAAGGATAAAACATCCAGATACAAACTGAGCAATCTGCTTGGTATATGCAGTAAACCACTTTATGAACACATGGCACAACATAGGAGAACAAACCCATCAGGACAAGATTCAGCAGTCCATCTGCATTTAAAAGACAAAGGCCATTCTTTCGAAGGCAGAAAGTCCACATTTTGGACAGAGAGGACCACTGATTTGAAAGAGGGGTTAAAAAAGCCATCTATTTCAAAATTGAACAGTCCTCTCTCAACAGAGGGGGAGGATATGACATCAGCTATCTCCAGTCTACAACACAGTCCTTTCAACAGTTCCAAGAAGGCTCCACACCCATTTGCACTACTCAGGTGACCTGAGATAAACCTCTAGGTGGCCTCTCTAAAAAATGCAAATGAAGCTGTCTGCAAGGAGTATAAATCCTTCCATTTCCCACCGTCCAGTCAGAACTGAAGAAGCTTCTTGGATAAGAAAAAGTCTTAAAAGAAAAACAAGAAAGTCCAGTTGCCTCGTGAAAAAAGCATCTTTGGGATTCCTGAATAGATTTTAAAAAGATTGTTTCCTATACCTCACCTAAATCATAATGGATAATTATAGTTCAGGTGTTCAATGACATCATTGATAGTGTCTTTCAGATCTGTGGAATATATTCTTTGTATTGTGCTGAGGGTTTAATCTCAATGGTTTAAAATTATACCTAGGGATACATTTTTTCTATAAATAAATACTTGCTTTATTATCTTTTCAGTTCTGGAAATCTAAGAAATTTTGATAAAGCATGGAGTGTTGCAAAGTATCTTTTTACAAAGGATTAATCTCGCATTGTTGAAACACACACTTTATAATTCAAGGGCAATGATAAAAAATAGTAAACAGTGTAATTTTGAAAGTGAAATTTCCAGATGCCTTTTTTAAGCATTAGCACAAAATAGCTGCTAGACTCAAATAAACTATATTTGTGTTATTCTTGTTGGCCTTTTGCCTTTATTGTGTCTTATTTGTGGATTAATGAAGATCAGACTTCTGAAATGTACATTTTTATCTTTTTCAGACAGGTTATAGGCAATGCAGATTGGATTATTAAATTTTGGGTATCCCCACTACTCTTCTTGTTTTTTCTTTTAGCATAAGCTGCATTACCTTCCAAAGGGAAAGCACAACATGTACAGCTTATTTTTTTTTTCTTGTTGTTCTGGTGCAAAGAGGTCAAAGCTCTTGTAAGGACCATAAAGGCTGAGTAAGGAGTTGGAAATGGCATTCCTAGTTGATAAATAAGCCTCAGTAGATAGTGACCTCATTGGCTTAATATGCCCAAACCAGATGAAATCATCTAAATGCAATTTTGTGTTTTCAAATTGCTTGCTTTAGTTTTCATGTGTTCAGTTGGACTCTTTAAGAAGATATAGATTAATAAAACAGGCTTAAATGCAGTGACCAAAGGGTGATCCTATTTCCTAAAAATGTTGCTAAAACTGAGATTAGGAAGATTCAGTTTCAAATTGTCCATGGAAATTTATATGTGACCTTAGGTTGGCCCTTATCCCTCAATCTTGCCTGCCTATAGAGTTGTTATTAAAATGGAAAGAGTCCCATGTGCAGATCCAAGAGTAGAAATAAGAAGCTTGATCTTCGGAAAGCGGATTCACTTCTGCTGACACAGTCAGTGTGTTAAGCTAAAGAAAATGCATCCCCTTTTACTATATCCAGGAGGAGACAGCTGAGGAGAAAAACTGGTTGAAAATAGATTAACGTCTGAAATTATTCATACTATTTTCTTATTGAGAAAAGGCACCAAATCAGCAGGAAGAAGAAGAACAGTCTTTGTCTAAGCTCTTGTAAACCAAACAGGAAAATCTAGCAGGTCTAGATTTCTATCCGAAAAGAGAGGTAGAATATGAATTCTCTATCCGAAAAGAGAGGTAGAATAATCTCTAGCCGAAAAGAGAGGTAGAATATGAATTTTAATTTAAATTAAATCTCTATCCGAAAAGAGAGGTAGAATATGAATTTTAATTTAAGAAAAAGAAAGCAAGGGCATAATTAATCATTTAAAAAAAATCTTATCATTTTTAGCAATATAGAACCTCGGTTACTCTGGGAAAGAGTGGAAAAACTGGTGCCAAGACCAGGAAGTGGAAGTTCTTCTGGATCAAGCAATTCGAGTTCACAGCCTGGTTCCCATCCTGGTTCCCAGAGTGGATCTGGAGAAAGATTCCGGATGAGATGTAAGGAAAAAAATAAATTATTCCCACAAATACATTCATTCCAGGTTCATTGCATCCAGAAAGAGATTTTGAATGAGATATAAGCAAAAAAACCTGTTATATATATATATATATATTTACTTACTTGCTTGCTTACTTACTTATCTATCCCTCCACAAAAGGAAGTTTTTACAACCTATGCTTAACAGTTGCTGTAAGACCAAGGGTAGTAGACTTTTCCTATATGATGCTGAGATTATACTGGCAAGTACATGAAATATACACACTTACATGCATTTTACACACACACACACACACACACAAACATACATACACATAAACATTTCTGTTTCCAAGTCACTTTAAGTTATAAGAGCTATATATGTAGGAACACTTAAACAGAAATTTATTCTGGAAAGAATACCTTTGAATATGTTGATAAAGAAATGTACAGGTAGTCCTTGGTTAACCATTCTTTCACCAACCATTGAATGTTATGATGTCGCTAAATGAGCAAACTTGGGAATAGTTCTTGAAGTTACAACTGTCACAATATCCCTCTGATCATGTGTATTTGACAACTTATAATTATGACAGTCAAGTGTCCTGTGGTCACATGTTTGCTGTTTGGAACATTTACTGCCAACTTCCAACAAGCAAAGGAGATTGACAGGAAGCTGTAAATGACAATCCGATAATGATACACCTAATAACCATGTGGGATTTGCCTAAAAATGGCAAGTAGAACTATCAGAACTACCATTGTACGTTGACATACTAACATAACGTCACACTCTATGGCCACATTCCTTGGTAATGAAGTTCTTGGTCTGAATTATTGTTAACCAAGTACTATCTGCATTATTCTCATATGATCTGTTATTAATATTGACTCTATTAATCAAATTGAGATTTTTAATAACTATTTTCTGTTTCAAATGCTTCAGAAACATTTTCTTATTTATTTTGGATCCTTCTAACACTGGCTTTGTTTTCTTTTTTGCAATGGTAGCAAGAACTGTCTGATTGTTTGCTGCTGGATGTTCCCATTTTTCTATTTTATTTTTTTTAAAAAATAAACTGGGCTTTTGTGTTACTTGATTACTTAGCATCATCAAAATCTGAAGGTTCACCTTCACAACGTAATGAAACTGCAGCCAAAAAGACTGAAGAGAAGAAAGAAGTATTCAGACCCTGCAAACCTGCGGTAAGGCTCTTCTGTTGCTTGTTAGCTCTATATTTATGGTCTATATCTTTGCATAGAAGACAGCGATAATTGTTTGAATTAGATGATAAGGAAATGAATGAATCAGGTGTGATGTTTAATTTTTATTAACATTGGTCATCTGCAGATAACATAAGCAGTGTATTTTTATCCCTAGCATTTTTAATTTCATAATATTTCCAATAACTACTTCAAAGCAATTAACCCAAGCAAGCGGAATTTAAATCAGCAAATAATATCTAAGAGATTTTAGAATTCTTGAAAACTATGTGACAGCCAGTCCAAATGGGAAAGCTTTAGGCACAGTTACAGTGATGATTTTGATGACTGAGACCTATGTTAATATGGAGCCAAGAAAGAACCTCCATAGGCAGTGATAGTGCAAGGTGAATAGGGCATAGAAATGGGTAGAGTTAAAGTTTTCTCTCCCCCCCACACCCTGACTTTCTTGAAGGGAGTTTTGTTTTGTTTTGCTTTGCTTTCACAATTGTGCTAAACTTAGGACATTCAAGACCAGGACTTCCAGTCATTCTTAACTCATTAGAGAAAGCCATGGGTTTTACTTATGTCAATACTACTCAGGAAAACATATTTTTCAATTTGCAAGCATTTTTTCCTGAAAGCCCTACCGAGTTGCCTTTAGTTCTATTGCCCATTCAACACCAACACCCTTCCATTCAACAGAGGTGATGTACTGAAAGCCAATCTGTGCAGATAGTAAAAAAACCAGCCATTTTTAATTTCCCCTAACTGCATTTCGTCCAGCAGTAGGAGGGACGTTGCCTTTCATTTCTATAATTAAATCTGTACTCATAGTTTCCCACAGTTATAGTTTTCCCATACATTAAAATTAGCTTGTTTACTTATGCACTAATAGAAAGCTTTTCTGAAGATCAGCAGGGCCAAATCTAATTTGATTGAAATATTAGAAAAAAATTAATTTGTTTCCTTAAATCTCGCATCTGCCTTTTTCCCCCCTATTGACGTCATTTTGACTTTTTATGGAAGCAGTTCATTTGTCTGATTCAGCACAGATGTTTTTGGTTTTTATATTACTGTTTCTTATAAAATTTAAAGGGAAATAGGGAAAAACAAGCTTCTACTTTCCACTATCCTGATTCTTATTTATAATCCCATGTCACGCTCTTATTTCATGCTCTACTTTCTTACTCCTTCCTTTAAAATTTTAAGTAAGCCACTGCTGTAATTTTAGTATCTTTAAGACCCAAGATAATTGGATCAATTCCTGAATTAATGTTGTATTTTAGTTATGTATTTCATTCCTTCATTTAAGTGTTTAAGTAAGCCAATGTTGTAATTTTAGTATAGTGAACCTCCAAGATAAGTGCCTTAATTCCTGTACTAATTTTGCATTTTATCTTCCTTTCCCAAACCATGCACCATATCTTGGTCCAATGTTGATTTGCTTTTTTTGTCATGTGACTGATCTTCAGGGAGAAGTGGTAAGTAGAGTTAATTTATGGAATAACTTCAAACCTTAACATGACTTAATTTAAATTTACAAAACTTTCCATACTCTTTTTCCACATCTGGCCATTTGAAACTGCCAAAAGAAATCTGTGGAATCTCAGGGACTATTGTTAGCAAAACTGGGCAGAATATAACAGGCAACTAGGAGGAAAGAGATTATATGATAAAGCTAAATTAAGAAAGCTAATAGAAAAAGAATTTCATTCAATAATACTCATGTCCTATCTCAGGAGATGTTAAATTTCAAATCCTGCTGTGAAGGTTATATGAAGTGAATTTTGCTTGATTTAATTCTATTAGAATTAAAGCATTAAAACATATACCAGTTTATCTATCAGTATTTCCTAAAATAATTTACCAAACGTAGAATAAAAGTATCAGTTAATTCATGGGATTCAGTTCTTGGAACAAACTGTTGAAACAGGCTCAGCATTAATTTTGAAACATTATTATGATATGCTTTTCTTTCTAGGATTTAACTGCTTTAGCAAAGGAATTGCGGGCAGTGGAAGATGTACGACCACCTCACAAAGTGACAGATTATTCATCATCAAGTGAAGAATCAGGAACAACAGATGAGGAGGAGGATGATATGGAGCAAGAAGGAGTTGATGAATCTACTTCTGGCCCTGAAGATGCCAGAGCAGTGTTAGTTGCATTTTTCCTATTTCCCTTTATTAAAGAATTTGTCATGGTTCCAATAGATCAGTGGTGGCGAACCTTTTAGAGACCGAGTGCCCAAACTGCAACCCAAAACCCACTTATGTATCGCCAGGTGCCAGGTGGGTGTGGCCCACTGGGTGGGCGTAACTGTGGTGGTCATGGCAGACTGAGTGGGTGTGGCCAAGGTAGGCATGGTCATCTTGATGTTGCTCGTGGGGAGGGACGCCTATGGGGGCCGGGCAGGGTTTGGGAGATCCAGGGGGTCTCTGGCAGGTGGGACAGTGGGCAGGAGGCTTGTCCTGCGGGGTGAGGCGAGGCAAGGTTAGGCAGGGCGGGAGTCCCATTGTCACAGGGCAAGGCAAGGCAGGGGCCAGGGCGGCTGCTGCCTGACCCCATTGGTCCCCACACACAGAGGCCAGTGAGCGCATGGGGGCCGACAGTGTTCGTCAGCAGCCACAGCCTGCCGGCCCCTCAAACAGCGCACTCTGGGGCTCCGCAGCCCACCACCAGCAGTTCAAAGAAGCTGCCTCTGAGCTGGACAGCCGTCTGACAGCTGAGGAGGCGATGCAGTGGGTCATGCCCGGGAAAAGGAGAGCATGCGAGGCCAGGAGGGATGGGATGGGGGGAGGGAAACCAGCCATGCTAGGATGCATCCGGCCACGTGGGACCTCGGTGAGTTAGCGGGAGGCTGGTTGAAGAGGGACGGTTGCCATCTCTGGGGCATGGCATGTGTGCCCACAGAGAGGGCTCTGAGTGCCGCCTCTGGCATGCATGCCATAGGTTCGCCACCATTGCGATAGATGAAACCTTTTAAAAAACTTCAAGGCAAAGATTTATTCCTCAAAGAACATTTTATTCAGGAAACAAAGTATCAGCTTGTAAATAGTTGGCAAAGTATCTGCACATACTTAGACTAAAGTTCCCTCCCCCATACAAAGTAACAAGTTGCAATTCCCACCCCAGAAAGGTTGTCATAAATCACATTCATCAATTATTCTAAACCGCAGGCTCTCCTCCCAACTTTTCAATCCACCAAAACTTTATCTAACATTGACCTTGATTCTCACCCAGCTGCAAATGTTATGACTAACAGAAAATGCTCAAGCATTCCCCCTTCCCCCCCTCTACATCTGAGAATCCCAAATAACAGAAAAAAGCACAAGGAAAGTAAAAGGTAAAATGGCCATAGTTTCTCAATTGTCCGCAGCGCTGACAGAATCTTTGTAATTTATAGGGTTGTCCTTTTTACTATACACTTCTAAAAAATAAACTTTAAGAAAAATATATAACAAACTGAGAAAAATAAAAGGCTAAGTCTGATGGTAACAATAACAATTCATTTCTAATTCCATAATCTCTTAAAAGACAGGTGTTTCATGGATACGTAATAAGTAATTCTTTAGTTGTAGTTATTTTAATATTGTAGTGAATCTTGAATATTGAAGCACCAATTATGAAATGTCCTCACCAAACAGATCCACTTTGAACCTCAGCAATGGAGAAACGGAATCAGTAAAAACAATGATTGTGCATGATGATGTGGAAAGTGAACCTGCCATGACTCCTTCCAAGGAGGGCACTTTAATCGTCCGACAGGTAATGCATTTTTCAGTATGTATTTGTTCCTTTTCATCAATTCATTCATTCTCTCATTTATTTTTTCCCACTTTAAAATTGGTTACAGACCCAGATGGTAGCCATTTATGAATAAACAGATTTAGAGCATGCAAAGGGAATAATAATTTTCACCTATCGTTTCCACTGTGTGTTGCATGCATACATTGGAATGACTGTTGTATGATACTGCAGTGTTTATTTTAATCTCTTCTAATGTGGAATAAAAAAACTGTAGATGTCATAGCAGGAACCTGGTGTAAAGTCAGTTGCATTTGTATCACTTCTAATGGCATCTTATGGCATCTTAAGAGAAGGTGGTGAGAGAGCCCTGAAACAGTAAAATAAGGATCATCTAGTTCATTTTAAATCACTTACAGTTGCACCACATTATCTCACTGAAGAGTTCAGCCAGCTTACACAAGACATTTCCTATCTAGGCAGGTTTCAAGACCAAGGCAACTTATCTTTAGGAGTAGAAATATTGGGCCATAGTCTTGGTGTAATAAGATATTATGTAAGAAATGGTTGAGAAAAGGCCTCTGTTGTCTTGAACTTCCTGGTATATTAGGTTAAGTACATCACAGGGCATGAACTTTACTAATTACATTTCTTATTTTTCAACTGAACATCATTTTTGTAATGGAGCCCCCATATTTTATTTAGATGGCATGATTATTGTTTAAACAGCTAAATTAGGACATTCACCAGAATGCAAGCATGATAGCAAAAAAAAGCCACAAGGAGAATGCACACAAGTGCCATCATAGATGTGATCTGTAGAAACTTAAATTTGCCAGTAAAGAAATTGGCTTTGCAAGAAAAAAAATACAGTAAATCCCACTCCACAGTGAAGGCTTGGTTGATTAATGCATTGGTTGAAACATTTAAAATAGATCATTTTGCTAGGGCATAGACTTGTACACAGCACTTGAGCAAGACAAGTGTGCCTGTTTTTTCTACAGAGTACAGTTGACACAAAGCGTGCCAGCCATCATGAGAGCAATGGCTTTGCCGGTCGCATTCACCTCTTGCCAGATCTCTTACAGCAAAGCCATTCCTCCTCCACTTCCTCCACCTCCTCCTCCCCATCCTCCAGCCAGCCGACACCCACCATGTCCCCACAGACACCCCAGGACAAGCTAACTACTAATGAGGTATGTCTTGCACCACAGCTGGCTGCTTTCATAGGGTTATAAATGTATTTCCTAATAGCTAGCATCCAGAGAATTTCCAACTAGTGTCCCTTCTGCTGCTCTTCTTCCTGTCACTGTCCCTTCACTCTCCCAAAGTAACACATTTCAGCTCTTATGTACCAGCACTCTGAACTATAGAATTTTTACCTCAAATTTGCCAGTTGACTACTATTTTGTTTTGCTTTTTATAAGTAATTAATTGCATGGCTTTTGTATCACCTAAACTGAGTGTTTTATCAGTATTTGTTTCAAAGCTATTTTGGGAAGTGTCTAAAAGTAATCCTAGTGTGACTGGCTTTTTCAAGTAACAATGCTGCCTGATTTAGCACAGTGCTGGAGAACTGTGCACGCAGGGAGTCCTTGCTTTGGAAAAGGATACACTGTATTTCAAAGGAAGCTTTCTCAAGCCTAATCATAAGTCTCTCCTTTAGGGGAAAATATTAATATAATAATCAGTTTATTTTTATGAATTTTTAAATTTGTTTTATTTTATATTGTTAATTAAAATGAGCTGTTTTTGTTTTTAACATATGGTTCTGCTCTGACAGTAGACTATAAAATAGGAGGCTGTTTTCCCGGAATACAAATACTCTTTCAGTTTGCAGGCTATAAGAGATTTAAAATGTCATGCGCTAGCAATAAAGAAGATATGTTAAGTTACTGCACGTGAATTCTTCTAAATACATAAGATGTGCAAGTTTTTAGCATAGGGACAGTTTCATTTCATCCTGTTAGGCTAAAACCTTACTCAAATTGACTCTTCATGTATGAGAGCAGTGAAGCTGTTTTGAAATTGCTTACTGTATTGAAGTTAAATACCCCTGTTTTCAACCACTTAGACCAGCAGTCCCCAAACTCTGTAACCTGGCAGCCCGGGGGGGAGGGGAACCAGGCCACACGGCCAGCTCAACCTGTGCAAGTTGAACTGCGCACATATGTGCACATGTGCTGGCCCACCACTTGCACAAGTTGAGCGCATGCATGCGTGTGCACTGGCACACTGCTCATGTAGCCACAGTCCGGTAGTAGGCCATGGCCAGGGGTTGGGGATTCTTGACGTTGAGCTCTTTTTCAGATTCTCAATCGGAAGCAAAGTATGCCACAGCAATAATAGGCTAATCCTTGTAAAATCACCACAAGATCTAAAAGTTAGTTTAAATGGCATACAACTAGTCATATGATGCTTAAAACTGTAATGGCAGCTCATGTTTAGTAATGAAAGAAGGCAGTCTGGCAACTAATTGGGTAATTTTCTGATAAAAGTGTCTGCCATTTAAATTCTGAGGCAAAACTTTAATTGCAGTTTGAGGGGTTGGTTCTAAACTAAGTTTTGAGATGAAATCTTCATCCAGATTCCAGCGTTGTAAGACAATGAGGCTAATAAACCACAGTAGGTATACATTGTAAACAGTTATTAGATTATATGCCTCATTACTTCCTAAGAGTGGTTAACAGTAAATTCCAAGTCAATGCTTTTTGCTTATTCATATTAGAAAAAGGGAAATCCTTATATATTGCTTTTAAAAATCATATAGGCATTATCAACCACATGATATGAAGCACAGCTACAGTATGTTGCTTGTCCAATAATTAGATAAAATATCTAAAAATAAATCTATTTCTCTATTTAATATAGAAATAATGGTAAATGAACAAAAGTTCCTAAACATTTAGAAATAGATATAGATTGCATTCAGATGACAAAACAAATCCTGTGTAGTATGTGCTGCACTGATTACATGTGCTCTTTCCTCTTAAGATCAGATTCATTTAACAAGTCATGGATAGCTTTGTCCATTTAGTAGGTCATAAAGAAAAATGAAACAACCCAGAAAAATAAATATGGTATTCTAAGTTCTAGACCCTCAACTTTAGGTCACTTTCACATTTTCTTAGCTTCTCTGTGTGTGTAGCTCCTAGGATACCACTTCCTAGTTACACCTGTTAAGAGGGTTAATAAGTTGTATAGTTTATACATTTAATCTTCTCATGAAATGAAACACATTATACCCAAGCATGCACTCAACTGAACGGAAAGGCTATCTTCTTTTCTGAAATGAATGTCAAGTTGCTAAACAATAAATGTAATTATGGTTTATATCAACACTTAGGTATTATCTATATGTAATGAGAAATTCTGTTTCATGTAATGGCCAGTTCTATTTAAATGCTCTATCAGCAAAGTATATAAAAATGAAGTTTGTGCAGTTCTTTTAGGTAATATGACAAATGCAGTCCCTTACTGACCATAAAGCTTGCATTGCAGTTATTAATGATAAAGATCTTCCTAATTTTTTTTTCTAATTTTTTTTTTAAATAATAGTTTTTGCATACCATTTGATATAAATTGATTGTATAAATGGTTTTATTGTACTAATGAAAGCTTCATTTATTAGTATGAACTTGTCTATCTGATGCTCATCCTATGGTCAAAGGGAGCCTTCCATATGCAGAAAAAATGGCAAAAGAAATCTTATGTCAGTAATTGCACAGTATGATCAACAGGTAGAATAGTGTGCTAGCCTCATTATTCTCCTAATGTTAAATTGTATGTATGTTGTTTCTGGATGAGATATGTTTTATAGAAGCAAAATAATATGAAATGGAAAAAAATATTTTTTTAGAGGCAATAGTGAAAGATGTCTAGTGATAGAAATTTACTAGGAAAGAAGACTGAACAGCATGAGTGGAAAAGGCATTAAACAATTTAAATGTAAATTGCTATTTTTCTACATCAACTTTATATGGCATACTTAATTTTTCATTCCTGTCATTCTCTTTTAAGATGCATCATACTCTGTACAACATACATAACATACATAACAAGTTTTTAAAGCCATTCTAAACATTTCATTATCTCATTTTCCTTCCTTGTTTGTATTTTTCATGCTTGGTGTTATAACCAGATGCACCAGTATCTTCATGTCACCATTTACACATTTCTCCTCCTAATAAGTCCACTTGTTTAATATTATCTTAATATTTTTCTGTAAAAATGATGGTGGAAGAACATGCTGCACCTTTCTGGCAAGAATCCAATTTTCAAAATAAAATTTTTAAAAAAGAAAATAATACTAAACATCATTACAAGTCAAAATTATAAAGCTGGTAGCTTAATTTTTAATTGTTCATACTTTGTTGCATATGTAGATCGTATTTCTCAATTTTTTACTGACAGTATAAAAGACACAGGCAGAAATATAAAGTAGGAAATAAAACAATGAAATAAAAAAGAACAAAATTTGGACGATAAAGTCCAAGATTTAGAAAACAGGGACTCCTATTTCAACAGGAGGAGATTCTTTTAAGTTTTTAGTATAAAGCTTAATATATTCAGAATACATTTTGTGAAAGCCAAAACAAAGGCTGCTTAGTGGAAGAAACTTGTCATAGTAGTAGTTTAAATTTTACTTATTTTTAAGAACCACTTATATTGTCTCTACATAGGTAGTGCGTCTGAAAATCAGGCTGTATGGTAACAGCTAAATGAAATGTCTGTTTCTTTAATAACTAACTTGTTTTATATTAAGATAATTATTTGAAATTTACATTGCAGACTCAGTCCGCTAGTAACACACTGCAGAAACACAAATCTTCATCCTCCTTCACACCTTTTATAGACCCCAGATTACTACAGATATCTCCATCTAGTGGAACTACTGTGACTTCTGTTGGTAAGTTATAAGAGTAGCAACAAACCAATAGTATAAAAAATAGTTTTTAAAAGTGTATATGTTTATAATGTCTCTTTATTTTAATGTTTTCATTTATATTTTTGTAAAGGCAAAAATCAAACAATTATTTTGAAGTCATTGAGATCTTTAACATAATGTGTTCATGTAGGTATAACATCTGCATATTAAGATTACTATAAATGTTCTCTATTTTTCACACTTTTCTCTCTTCTGTCCCTCTCTTCAGTGGGATTTTCTAGTGAAGCAATGAGATCAGAAGCAATGAGGCAGGATCCAACCAGAAAAGGATCAGTTGTTAATGTCAATCCTACAAATACACGGCCACAGAGTGACACCCCAGAGATCCGCAAATACAAGAAGAGATTCAATTCTGAAATCTTATGTGCTGCCTTATGGGGTATAGAATCCAATGCTCGCTGCTATTTCATTCCTATATTTGCTTGAAAGTTGCAGGCTTATTCATAAAATTAAGACAATCTATTAAGAATATAGAAGTTGTGCTGATTTTGTATGACTTATTAATTAGATCAGGACTTAGTCCTACTTATGAACATGAATGTTTCTTAATGATATGTCTGATTTGTCATGTTTAGGTATTGTATTAATAATTTTTAATGACAGGCTTTGATTTCAATGGTAACCAAGAGAATTGTTAATAAATATTTCCTATTGAGAATTGAAAATTGAAGCTGAGTATGAAAATTCCTGATGTAGGGCTATAAAGTATTTCAAAGCCATTTCTGGAGCTTTATAGCTTTTATACCATGGTAATCTTTGTTGGATATTTAAATAGCTAAATATATTCCACAATAGCAAATCCAAAATCCAATTAACTTGTGTTTGTGTTAATCTTGTTCATTCTAGGAGTTAATTTATTAGTGGGGACAGAAAGTGGCCTGATGTTATTGGATAGAAGTGGCCAAGGGAAAGTTTATCCACTAATAAACAGAAGGAGGTTTCAGCAAATGGATGTACTTGAAGGTTTGAATGTCTTGGTGACAATATCAGGTAGACAGAAGTTTTTTTTTGATAACCTTAATAGCAGTATTACTAATGCGTTGCACCTGTATTTTACACTTACAAGTGTCTACTTCTTGCATGAAGAACAATTAATGTTAGAAGCCAAATTTTTTACTATATGATAATAGCTTTCATTTTTCCAAGGGATATTTTATAACTACCCTATCTGATTAAAAATATGATGAACATTCAGGGGACATTATAATACCTGTTTTTATTATCAAGGTTGCTATTTTAAAAAAATGGGTATAAGCTTATTGAATGACTCCATTGTCACAATAGTTCCTACTATCCTTCATTATCCTTGCTTACATTATGTTTTGACTAAAACTATGTTGCTTCATGATTGTAAATCACAGCTTTAAAAAATTGCTACTAGATTACAAACTCAAAATCTGCCTTGTAAACATGAGAGCAAGCATATATACATTGTAAACTTTTCTGGCTTATATCTGTTTTGTGATATATATCGTAGTCCAAACTGTATCAAAACTCAGATAAATATGGTGAAGGCAACTCTTATTTATACTCTCTGAATCGTCAATAACTTATTTGATTTATATTACTGGCATCATTCAAACTGAAATTTTGCTATCCAACCAGGATAGGTCTGAATGATGAAAATCTGTAATATAAACTGGCATGCTACCTTTCATTTATACTATTCCTGTGACTTTGGCCAGTTGTACATTCTTAAACCAGCCTTGTCTGCAGGGTTGTCATTGTGGGAGAAAAATGGAAAAGGAAGTGCTGTGAGCTACTTTGAACTCCTGAAGGATAATCAGAATATGAGTCTAATAAAATAGCTACCTCTTCTACATAAAACCATGCTGTAACCTGATTCATATTAAAATTAATATGTCTTGTTAAAGAAATTTTATTAAGATGTAACTTTATTGTTAGAGATGAATTGTTGATTTAATTTAGTAAAACTTCAATATGAGTTTCATTTATCAATTTTTAAGAATGGATCTATGAAATTCAAAATATTGAATAATCTAGCTCAAAAACATTGCAACCCTCCCACCCCAACTTCAGTAAATAAATGCATTCTGGAAATCATAAATAAAGTATATGAGTTTGCATAAATATATTGAAACTTGGAAAAATGGTTTGGAAATATGTTACAAAATTTTAATTAAAGGTATACTTTCTAAAATCTGTAGAAATAGGGGCAGCTAAAATGATAACTGGACTTGAACAACTCTCCTACGAGGGGAAGATACATGTTTAATTTAGAAAAAAGTGAAGGAAATTGTAAAGGTATCCATCCATTATACCTGGGTAATATACTATGTGGTTAGAGTAGTTATTCTTTTAATAGCAAAATCAGTACACCTAGGAAAATTAAATGGCAGGAATTTAAGTTTTAAAAAAAATAGTAGCACTCCTTCTCAAATTGCATGAACTCACCAACTTAGCTGATTTTGAAAAGTATCAGACAAATTTATTGAGAATGAGATTATTTGTTGCTAAAAATTTAACTCTTAGATTAGGTAAAGGGCCCATCAAATCATAGAGGCCAACTAGATGTTATTTTGAAATTTGCATTTAAAACATGCTGCTTTGATTCAAGCCCTATCTTGCATAAATTCGCACAACCTAAATTCATAAGTCATTGAGATATAGAGAGGAGCAGCTCTGATGATTGCTACATTCTTCATATTTTCTAACTAAAATCAGGTAATTAGGGCTGTACATATAATTCAAGTATAGTTCAACCATTTGGGATTGTAGAGCATTAATGTATTTGGCAAATATATTTTCACTCTCTTTCTTCATTATTTTAGCCATCCCTGGTTGACATTTTCTATTGCTGTTGATTCTTTTTCAGGTTACTACTAACTGAAGAAACTTGCATTTTTTATTTTATTTTTTTAGTTTTTTGGTGGGTTTTTTTTTTGTTCCAAAGTGAATCACGTTGCATTCATGCACATTAATTGCATTTTGTAATAATTTCGTAATAATGTTTGTCGTAATACAGTCAGTTCATTCAGTTTGGAGAAATTATTTTGTAGCTACTTGCTAACTTTTCTATTTTACTACAGTAAAATAAAAATTACTACATAATTTAGTATAAGAGACAATTTTGGCACTTTCGTATTTGTCACACTTTCTGTTTACTTGAATTCTTCATATTCCCTTCTTAATACATCACTTGCCCACAATTCAGACAGGAATCTTCCCTGCCAGTTCATTGATGACAATGGCAGTTATACAAGGTTTAGTATGGAGAACCACAGAACAGCTGTTATATTGCAAAGTCTTCTAGAAGTTACTATTCTGTTTACATCTTGACTAAGCTCCTTCTGATCATGTGATTGATGGATAAAACGTACACTGCTAGATTTGCAGCTCTTTTGTGTTCTTAAGTTCTTTTTAAATATTTTACATTTGTATCAAATATAATTATTCTATGAACTTCATTTTTTGCAATATCTCTGTGCTTGTATTACTGTGTTACTCCATTACTCAAGTGAGAGTGATCCCTAGCAGATGATTCTTCCTTCTAAATAGACTACTAGGTCCTGGGGGCAGGGTATATATTTTTTTAATATAATTTAAGAAATTTCCCTTCATATATCTTGGAGTAGGTGTATTGTGACTACATAAGCAGTTTTTTTAAAAAAAATAATAAAGTTCCAAATAAATACCTCTATGGCAGATAAAATTACATGAGATAGAATTATATGCAGTTACTTCCATACAATGCTAGTAATTACTGAATTATTCTACATAGTGTAAATCTTGCCCTGTTCTTAAGAAAATATTTTATGTCTAGGTAAGAAAAACAAATTGAGAGTTTATTACCTCTCATGGTTAAGAAACAAGATCCTTCACAATGATCCTGAAGTAGAAAAAAAACAAGGATGGACAACTGTAGGTGATTTAGAAGGCTGTGTACACTACAAAGTTGGTAAGTAATTCATTATATTAATTTGAAAGCAATTCTAGTTATAAGTGAACTTCCTTTTGGTTTTTATGAGTAAATCATGTGGCATAAAAATACAGCTACATATTTCACATTTTCAAAATAAGTGTCTAAGGATGCCCTGTTTTGTTGAGTTTATATATATTACAGCATGCTTTAATACAAACAACTGTGAATTGAACATGAAGTTCATATTTTCCTCTTCCTGGGCATCATCTCATTTCCTAACACCAAAGTGTAGAGAGAAGTAATTTCCTTTCCATTGTTTTACCAATTCTGAACACAACAGAGATTAATTGTGTTTCAGTAGGATCATATATATTAGGAAGTATTAAGAAGATAGTCTGACTCTTTTATCCCGTTTGTAGAATATATAAATGAAACACCAGGAAGTCATTGACTCTGCTGCTGGCTCTTTTCCAAAGAAAAGATGCCATATAATTTTGGGTCTGGTTTTAATTTCATCTTAAAGCTAAATTCATAATAGCCATTCTCTGTGGACTGGCTTTCTTTCTTTCTTTATTTTATTTTATTTGTTTGGATTTTTATCCCGCCCTTCTCCTTACGGACTCAGGGCGGCTGACAGCCTGGTAAAACAAATACAGAGATAAAAATACCCACTTTAAAACCTAATTAAAATGAAATATTTGATGTGGCCTGTGTCAATTTAAAATTATTCTTAAAACCCCACTAAAAATTCCCCCTAGGCCAGTCCTGNCGCGGCGGAAGGAAGGGAGATCCGGGATCACCCGGATCTCTGGGGGTAGTTCATTCCAGAGGGTGGGGGCTCCCACCGAGAAGGCCCTCCCCCTGGGAGTCGCCAGCCGGCACTGTCTGGCTGACGGCACCCTGAGGAGACCCACTCTGTGGGAGCGTACCGGCCGATGGGAGGCACTCTGAGGCAGAAGGCGGTCTCGTAGATATCCAGGTCCGATGCCATGGAGCGCTTTAAAGATGATAACCAGCACCTTGAAGCGCACCCGGAAAGCCACCTACCTACCAACATTTGTAATCATTTCTTAGTATTTATGAGTGCTAAAAATCAGTTTTTCTCTCTCTCCCTCCCACATTTGCATGGTAGAAAAAACTGTTAATAGTCATTGAATGCCTTAAGAATATGTCTGAACTAGAATCTATATTTAATGTTTCAATGAAGAAATAGCAACCTAATTATTTTAGTTGGATACGTTATCTTCTGATCGGTATGGGAATTAATATAAGCAAATCTATATACATTATTGCCTAAGGAACGAAGTGGATTTTTGGTATGTTTTATATTTAGAAAGTAAACATTTATAATTATTGATATATTTTAATGTATCAATATTACATACATGTAATGTTAATTATTATGTAATTTGAGATAATTTGAAAGTGTTCATAATTTTGTGAATTAGGCTATAAACTCTCTGATGTGTATATTTATATGTTCTACAATACATATTGAAATTTGATGCCTTATCAACTGTATAAAACATTTAAATAACTTTACAATTTTTATCCTTTTTAATTTTAGTAAAATATGAAAGAATCAAATTTTTAGTAATTGCTTTGAAGAGTTCTGTGGAAGTCTATGCCTGGGCACCAAAACCATACCACAAATTTATGGCATTTAAGGTAAGGGTGCCTCTTTCCCTTGAAATGTGTTAAAAGTCATTGAAGAATGTCAGAGTGAGCTTACTATTAGCAATATTAATTATGATAATTGTGATAAGTGTTTTAAATAGGGACCATTATCCATCAGATAGCAAGAAGTCCAAATTCACCCAAAAGTATTAGGGGATATTGCTACTCTAGAAGTAAAATATAGCTTGTATCTGCCACACTCTTATGGAAGTCTTGAGTTGATGTGCTTTACAGTTAAGATCTATGGCTATTGATTAAAAAACCTCATTCTTCAAGAGAACAATCCATGATCCTGTAAGGAAACCAGGGGTATGACTTGATGTCTTTTCTTGTTTCCTTCATTTTTATATGAGGATAATTGCTTTAGTAGAATATACAACATGGTCTGTGTAGGAGAAATAATATACGCATGTTTTACTGGTCTCCATCCCTTAGTCATGAGACTTGTTGCCAGTTCCCCAATCAGAAATGTTGCAATTTTCCTCATTACTCTTATTTTCCTTTCAGTTCGTAGGTTTTTATTAAGCACGACTTTCCATGTACTACCAAGTTTTAGGTTAATAGTCATGCAAGATGAGCTAGGCAGCACTACATAGAAAAAATGAGATAAAGCTTTTTGTTCATTGATTTGCTCAAGAATATTCAAGGTAGAGAAAGGGAAGATTATTAAAAAAGAAGTGAGGAAAATAATGGAAACAAAAAGGGTTGGTAGGAAAAAACTACTTACTTGTATACTGTCTTGAAGTTCTAGAATTACTTATGGGTGAATTTTGAGTCCCTGGTAATAACACTTTTAAAATATAACATGTCTCCCTTTACTTTTAATTGGTATTTTTGTTCTGCATTTATGTAAAAGTTCAATCAGTAGCTTTACAAAGAAAATGAAACAGTAGCAATCAAACTCTAAACTTTTGTAAAAGATTTTTAAAAGCATATGATTATCTGAACTAAAACTATTATACACATGCAAGGGTCATTCTCATATTTCAAGTTTATTGTCATATAGCAATTATTGAATCAATGAATACTGCTATTTTAATCCAGTCCAGTTGAAATATTTTCCATAGTTGTTTCCAAGATAATCTCTTTGGTATATATATGTATATTTTATTACTTAACAGTCATTTGGAGACTTGGTACATAAGCCATTATTAGTGGATCTTACTGTAGAAGAAGGCCAGAGATTGAAGGTGATCTATGGTTCCTGTGCTGGTTTTCATGCAGTTGATGTGGATTCAGGATCAGTGTATGATATTTATCTTCCAACTCATGTAAGTATTTAATATTGTAATCATGTTTATTAACCCATATTTTTTATAACTAATTTTATTAATTTTCAAATTTTAACAACCGAGTAATTAGGAAGCAGCGTGGTGATAGGGTAATCAATAATCCAATAACAGAGTAATACATAGATATCTCAGTTTACATCAATAAAGGTTCCCTCTCTATTTCCCTTAGATATTATATCACATTCATATTAGTACATTTCTAACTAAAGTTCAATCAATCTATACATTTATCAATAATATTTTAATTATACATATCCAAATCCTATTTTTAGGTTTTGTTTAATTCCAATTGTCATATTCCAATTTAGTCTTTTATAACCAATATTTATAATTTGGATGGGTTTAGTTTCCCTCATTTTATTATGAACTAATTCTCATGACTGAAATACAACTATTATTCCAAAATTTAAATTCTTTCTTTATTCATAAATATATTCTATTTCTCATCCTAATAACTCCTCATATACTAATAACATATCTCTCATTATCACAAATCCATTTCCCTATAACCATTAAAACTATAATCTATCAGGTTATTTTAATTTCCCTTATTAATCTAAATATTAAATCAGTCGATATCTCTAAGATCAGTCAAAATCTCTAAAACAAAGCTGCTTAACCCTCCAATGAATTTTTAAATCCCATTTTTAAATCTAACTCTGGCTTTCTTTTTATGCCAGACAGGCTTCCATACCAGTGCCCTTAAATCCTCCAATATGTCTCCCTTCATTCCCACACATGTTGCTTGAATCAAGGGAGAACATCCAGTTATCAGTTTTTCAATGGAACTGGCCCCATTGTAGTTATTAGGTAATAGTTCAAATATCGATATTTGGTTTGGAATGCTTGTCATCAATTCAGTCTGGTCTTCTTTTTTCTGGGTGAAGCAAAGAGCCATATCTGGTGTTGTAGTTGTTGTTTGGTCATCCAAGTTGTCTAGGTTCCCAATATTGTATGTCTGTAGATCAGCTCCTGTTGCTTTTGGAGTTACAGGTGTTTTAGTTGACATCAGTATCTGTTTGTCAAAGTTCTCAATAAGTTGTACATGTTGTTGAATAGAATCCTCTTTGATGTTAAATTGTTCCTCTTCTATTGTTTTTTGGCTTATAAGTTGAACAGTTGGGGTCTGGGGTTCAATCTGTAGTTTTGTGAAAATATCTTCGGCTTTCACTTGAGATTTTATTAGCTCAGTGGCTTCAAGGATTTTTTGAAGTATAAGTTTATAATTAAGTTGTGGGTAGATTCCCTCCGTTTCCATGGTGATTAGCGGTAGTCTTTTAGTGGAAGCTATGTTTAGTAAAGATCAGCCAATGTCCACCTCCATGCTCTTAGAGCTGTTTTCACCACCCAGCAGTTCCCAATCTTATCTTTTTTGCTAGTATGAAGGCCAAATCAAAAGAGTCAACAAGCCTCACAATTAAAAAAAAATTCCATTTGCTGTGTCAGTTTTCACCACAAGATGTCCCCCTTCGACCACAAAATCTTTTCCCAGATGCCAGTTAGTTTTTTAATTAAAAAAGCCAAAAAAAGAGGATATTTTCCAAAGTTGATGGTTAGAGAAATAATAAATCTCAGTAATTAGATCTTTTAAAGTCTCGAAAGTATCCGAAAATCAAAATTCCAGTTATTTAGTTATTAAAATTATTTATTCTTTTCTTTCCTTCAACATTTAAATTCCCAAGTATAGAAACGCCGCTGCGTTGAAAGCGGGGAAGAAGTTTAAAAAGGCTTTCACAGGAAGGTAAATAGGGGAACAAAGAGGAAAGGAAGGGTCTCACCCGAATCCTCCACGATGCTTCGTTGTGCTTAGATGTAAGTTTGACTTTCGGCTGGTGCGACTTTTCTTCTTCGGTTCTGAGGAGTTGCCGCAGATCAAACGGAGAGTCTGCCGCCCTTCCGCGAACTGGCAAAGTCCTCCCCAACGGTGGTTGCCCCTCCAGGGTGACTTTCGACCCTTACCAGGGTCTCCCAAAGAAGGAAAAACGGACGGCAGGGAGAGCAATCTCAGCACACTTCCGCCAGAGCCGCAAACCAAAACCGGAAGCCCATTAACCCATATTTTTGATAATGGATAAAATAAACCATCCAAAAATACTAAAGGCTGAAAGGATAGCATATAATTAATAATTTATATCCAAGCATGTATATCTAGAGGAAATGATTCAAAGGTACTTTTCCAAAAAGCAACTGGACTTTCTAGGTTTTTTGTTTTTTTCTTTGAAAATGTTTTGCTTCTCATCCAAGAAGCTTCTTTAGTTCTGAAATGTTTTCAAAGAAAAAAAAAATCAAGGAAATCCAGTTGCCTTTTGGAAAAGCACCTTTGGGACAACCATGACCTGGATGATTGAGAATCTCCATAAACACTACAGAAGATAAGTTTTGTGCTTAATATGCATTAAATAAAAGAAGAACTGCGTGACACAAATCCATTTTATCTGAGAACATCTATGATCCCATGGCTTATTTCTCAGTCTGGGAAATATATGGTTCAATTCAGAGAAAATGAGGAATACCTTCTTGCCAACTGGGAGTTGACAGATACATGTATTTGCAGATTCAGTGTAGTATCCAGCCTCATGCGATCATTATTCTTCCTAACACTGATGGAATGGAACTGCTTGTTTGCTATGAGGATGAAGGAGTATATGTCAACACATATGGAAGGATCACCAAAGATGTGGTTCTGCAGTGGGGTGAAATGCCTACATCTGTGGGTATGTATGCCAAGCTTTTACGAAACACTTACAGAAAATGGTATATAAATGGTTCTTTATTCAGTCACTTTGGCTATTAAATAATCTAAAATATCATGACAGATAATATTATATTTTCTATTTCTATTGATAAGTCAGAAGACATAATAATAACTATATTGCTGCTACACCTATATATTATACAGTTCACCTGTGCTTAAATTTAATTGCTTTGGATGAAAAAAACAAATGGACCATGGATGCATAATTGCACCTATAATGCAGAAAAGCAAAATAACCATACTCCATGGATATTTTTGTATACCAACAAGTTCAGTAAGAATAAATTTCAAGCTTCTTGTACCCAGTTAGATTTTTCTAAAATAATCTGATGTTATGTATTGTTGTCTTGATAATATTACTGTATTAAAATCAATTATCTATAGGCTATAATAGTACAGATATTGGGAATTAAACAATATTGAAGAAAGAATGTTTCTTATGAATGCATATGCTTAGTTATATGTTCTTGTACATTTAGTAACTGAAGGGTTGTGTGTGTGAATTTATTTATTTACTTATTTGCTACTTTTATAATTTTTACAAATAACTCAAGGTGGCGAACATATCCAACATACCTTCCTCCTTCTATTTTCTCCTCAACAACTTGTGAGGTGGGTTGGCCTGAGAGAGAGTGACTGGCCAAAGTCACCCAGCTGGCTTTCCTGACTAAGGCAGAACTTGAACTCACTGTCTCCTGTTTTCTAGCCTGATGCCTTAAGCACCAGATCAAACTCGTATTAGTAGAGAAAAGCTTATCTAATCTCTAAATATTCTCTTTCAGTTTTTTAAATGAACATTTATGTCAACAAAATTTTGTTTTGTATGAAAAATTAAGAGGATGTAGAATGCCCAAGATGAAGATTACTGTTTATTATTATATTTAATAGTGGCTTTTTTATCTTAAAGCCTACATTCGATCCAATCAGATTATGGGCTGGGGAGAAAAGGCTATTGAAATACGGTCAGTGGAAACAGGACATTTGGATGGTGTATTTATGCACAAAAGAGCACAAAGACTCAAATTTCTATGTGAACGTAATGACAAGGTAATGTATACATGTATATATTTTCTACTTCTAATACTGAGTTTAGCAGTTTTGTAATTACTGTGGAGAAGAGGAAGAATAAATGATGACAGCAATCCTCTGATATTTGAATGTGGGCAAAAGGATTAGAGGTCCATTGCTCTTGATGCACACATTGACCTTTTGATTCCTGGAATAACAGCAAAGCTTTAATTAACATCAAAGAGCATATAATATGTCTTTCCACATAGTTTTTCCGCTGCACACTGATGTTGCACAGAGGCTTGGATGTCACCATTAATGAACAATAAATGTGTCCTCTGGTTTTTTCACCCTGCTCCCTTCCAGATGTGTCAGGATTGAAACTCCCATAATTTTTGTGTCTCTACATCATGAGAGGCATTATGACAGGAGTGAGAGAAGCTGTCCTTGTTCTGTAAATAAATTCAGCCCTGTGCTTGTTTTCTGTTGGTCTCCCTCTTCTGCTCCATTGTCTGATAACTTTGTTTTCTCTTTTATCTCTTACTTCACAGGTTTTCTTTGCCTCTGTACGGTCTGGAGGAAGCAGTCAAGTTTATTTCATGACTTTAGGCAGGACTTCTCTTCTCAGCTGGTAGAAGCTCTATAGTTTGGCAAGGAATTGCTGTCCTTTGGAGTCTTCTTGGAATCATTTGCAACTGGAGTACAGACCTGCCATGATGCACTCCAAACATGCTATTGCGTGTGCAAGCATCACTGGTGTTGGGTTCTTTTCATTTTTAAACTGAGGCTGCAGGGTGCAGCTGGTGCTTTTGGCCATCAGGTGCTATCTGATTTGGGATCCCACTAGAGAAAGAATCAGGTCTCTCCTTTTCTTCCTTTCCCTGCTCCAGATGTCCTAATGAATAAAGGAAGAGACTGACCAGGAAAACGTTTTTGGAAAGAGGCAGGCAGGAGAAGGTGCAGGAGGGTGACATAGGTGGACTCTGTGTCACTGAAGCAGGGGACAAATTTAATATAGTAATATTAACAATGTAATTTAATTGATGTTTCTTTTTCTTTTTTCTTTTCTTTTTTTTGGTAATGTGACTCTGTGGAAAAAGAGAAAGATGCAGGTTTTAAAAGTTATTATTTATAAAAATGTGAAAGGCACAGTGGTTTAGGGAAGGTGGGGTGATTTTCTTTTTAAGTTTTGGCCTGGCCAAGAGTTCAGTCCTTCTTGTCCTGTGTGCCAAGTTTTGCCTAAAAATCACAGTGGTTTTTTTTTTTTTTAAAAAAAACATAACGGCATAGTTCATTTTTCTACAATGACTCTTCATTAGGCCAAAACTTGGTAATTTCAGTGTTAGCACTGCCTCAGTTAAAGGTTTAATTTTTGTTTAAACCTAAAATGTGCAACAGCTTTTACTACCAGCCTTTGGGGAAAGAAAATTCCAAACATGTTTATTTTTGTGCCTACCTCATTGTTTCTAATGCATACAATAAAAGAGGTGGTTTAGGTTTATAATTTTTTTTAGAAGAACCAGTACTAATATCCACTTAACTGTGATACCAAAACTATCAGATTACAGATTTGACTGTTACTTTCGTACCAGGTTTTAGGAGATCAGATCATCAGTCACTTGTAATGATTAAATTAGATTAAGGATTTAAGAGTAATTGAGTTTTTTTAATTTTTTAATTTTATTTTTAACAGTTTCATTACCAACGGAACTTAAAGAGGTTTAGCCTAAAATCCAGAAAGTTTTACCTTTAACATGAGAGATTTAGTAACACAAAAGTAACAAAAACTAGGCAAATTCAATACTTTTGTAAAAAATTTGGAATGTTTTCCTTTTCTAAAAATGCAATGCTCTAAAACTATAAGAATGTAGTTAATTCCACTTATTCAGTTTTTAAAAGCAACATATATTTGTGTTTCAGTGTAAAATCTAAATTCTTGGATCTTTTTCTTTCCCTGTCCCGTGTTTTTAAAGGGGAAAAGCTCCACAAAATTTTGTTTTATCCCGAAGATTTTTGGCCTTTATAATAAATCTGTCAAGACTAATACTTTGAAAGGCTACATGTGTTTATTACTTGAGAAGACTTGAGTGTGTAATTATCTGTTGGTGATGTAATAATGCACAGTGTCATGATACAATAATTATGATTTTTGAACTTTTAAAAAGTATCTTTGGGGTAATTTAGTTGACAGTTGCCTTAAGTTCACTGTTTTAATCAGTGAATTGGATTCCAGTGTTTTATGGCATGAAAATTAGGGACTTATGTGTGATTCTTCAGTTAAGAGGCTTTGACAGATCAAGTAACATACCAAATGACTTGCTTTGTGTCAAACAGCACCAATTGAAGGAGCCTAGATCTGAGTTAGTAGTACTTAGGTCATCAGTAAAAGTGCTGTTTCTTTTTCTTACTAACTTTCTCCCCTTTATTAAGTTTTTTTTTTTAAGAGCTGGAAGGGTTTCTCCTTTCCTCAAAAGTAATTTGTATAAATCAAATAGGAACAGCTGATAATTTCTGCTTTGATTTTTTTTAAAACAAAATTCATGTTTTTTTTAATTGCTTGAGATTTAGATAGCACTGAATGTGAGATCCAAGATTACAGGTGACTTTCACTTCCCTTCATTCCTCTTAGCAAACAGTCAAAAAATTAACTGTAGATTGAATAGTGGAAAATGAATGGGATGCAGGAGATTGATGTTGCCACCAGCAATAGGATCCTCTCTGGGACTGGAACTGTAGCATGAGATGATAAAGCCAATGCCAGAGGCTCTTAGGAAAAGTTTAGAATCACATCTTGTGATTTAATTTTTGTCCTTGCCCCTCATGCCACCATGTTTGTATGCATGTGTATGAACACACATTCCAATGCATACTCATACATATACACACACAGATATATGTATGCAAATAGTTAAAAAGAAACTACTGTTCACAAATGGAAGAATGTTGTAATTTTGAAGAATTCTGCCAGATTAATAGGCTGGTGAAGCTCTGTGCATCAGAATGAAAAGAAGATGGAAAAACAAATCCATGGTGGCTAATTTTACAAGTCAAATCAGTATTATGAAACCACTACATACGAAATGTTGAAATCCATTTTAAAGCAGTGCTGTTGGTAAGCATTAAAAGTACTCTTAGTTTAGTTTAAGCTTTAAGTAATAATTTCTGTATCCTATGTCAAAGTAATTCTAACTGTATGAATGCAGTGACTTTATTTTTATCGTATGCACATGTTATGTTGGAGAAAATGTTTACAAAAATGGTTTTGTTACACTAACGTGCATCACATATTTATGGTTTATTTCAAAGTGATTTTGTGGGGGTTAGGTTTTCATAGTGATAGCAGTACACATTTTTGTGTTTTTTTTAAATAACCCCAATATTGCCATCTATGAAGATGCTTAAACAATAATACAAATGACAAAATTGCAGTAAAATTACTAATTGTAGAACTGCAAAATAGACTGGTGACAAGGAAACACCTAGCCTTTTTGCAGTGATGTCTAATTTTTTTGTGTATTATAAATTACTGTTTCCCACCCATTTTTTCCTTAAATAAAGTAAAAATGGCACCTATGTGTATGTGGAAAGTATTTTGAGTAACTTTTTATCTCAAGAGAAAGTTTTTTGAGTGAAATTATGTAGGATTCTTTAAATGATAAACTTTGTGAAATATATATTTTGTAGGAAAAGCTAACACAAAAAGGAGTAATACTGTAATGGTATGTAGAAATGACTTTGGAAAACGGGGAAGAGCCACAGACAGCTCCCTCTCTTGCAAAGTCATCCCCATACCATTGCAGATGTGTATCTATTTTGAAGTACTGTAAGATAGACTTGATTTACCTCTCAAAACATAGTCTAGCTATCTTCTTTTTCCTCCCACCAAAGATTTAACAAGGGTTAATTACTAAGGCATATATATATATGGAGTGTTCATGTGGGACATGCATCATCTGTTATTTGTATCTCACTGCATTTATATTCAAGGATTTTGTGTGTGTCTGTGTGTGTTATTTCAGAACAAACACTGTTTTTATTCTTATTCTAAACACCATGTACTTTAAGCCTTATGCCTTAATACATTTCCTACAAATAAGTATCACCATATGGGCAAACCATAATTTACCTATCCTGTTTTTCCCTATTATTTTCAGGAATGCACTAGAAATAATTAGAGACCATGCAAATGTGTAGAAGTGACAAAGAGAGAGATGTTAATATGGGAAAACTGTATGGACCAAAGTGTGAATTGGTACAAAGTAAGACTGTTAGGTAATATACAGTGAATATAAATGCTAATGTTTCCTAAAACAAAGTGAAATGAGATTGGATGACACTGTGGGGAAGTGGTAAATATTCTTAGGAATATTTTGAAAGAAGCATGATATGACTCACAGTCACCATACTGAAAAACATTGAGTATCTGACAAAAGATCCATAAGAGTTTTGCTGGGTGTCCACAAGGTTGGCTTTATATTAGTTACTTTCTCAGACTTATATCCTACTTTTTTATAGTTGCTTAAGAAAGAACATATCACTCTCTATCCTTCTAGTTTTCTTCCCAACAGGAGTCCTGTGCTTTGGCTGAGGGAGAAGGACTGGTCCAACGTTTCCTAGTAAGCTTCTAGGGCAAAGTAGACTTGATCCTCAATATTCGTGATGTGGATCCAACATTTTAGCCACTCCTACATTGATTCTGCCAGAACATGCATTAGCTTTCAACATCTTTCCTATACCAGTGTGAAAATGCATATTTTCTTATGTTTATACATTCATGTTTTATGCACATAAACACACATCAAATTATATTTCCATTAACTTCTATAAATTGTCTAAATTTTCTTTTGTGTAATTCTGAGTTTCTTAGTCATGCAGTGGGCATGAACCTGTTGTTTCTATGTCCTACATTATATTCAGCTCCTTAAACAACTGTCTCTGAGCCTTGCATGTGTTCTCAGTCATTTTTTGTAATTGTAGATGATACTGTATTTTTGGGAAGAAATTGACTGTGAGATTGTGTAAATGTACTTTCTTAACTATCTGAGTAACAACAAATAGCTCAGATGTGCTATTCCATTACAACACGCTAGGGTTTTGAAACTCCTGTGAAAAGTACGTGCTGTACACAGAAATAAATTGTTGCTTTTTTCCCTATCATTCAGTTTATTTTAAATAATCTGTAAAATCCTCTATGTTTGAATAATATTCCCAAACTATTAGGAGCTATACTTACTCATTATCTATTTTTAGGATATGATTTAAGATTTTCCTCTTTAGCTGTGCTTTTTCAGTATGAATTAGCTAAGATATTTTAATTGTTTGTTATATATTTAATGATTTCTGTTCTGACTTCTTATTGTTAGTTACTCTGAATGTCCAGAAGATAGAATTAAGTTGAAATAAGTTGAAAAAGAACTTATTCTTTATTCTAGCCATTCATACCAAGAAATCTGGATCCTTAGAGCCTAATTAGTTAATATTAGAAAGAAAAGAGATTAGATACATAATTTGAAAGTATATTATTCATCATTCAGTAAATTAAGCTCTTTGATCACCTGATTTTCTTTTGATCTACTTGTTGATGGAGGAAGATGTTGCTTCCAGTTGGAAAAGGAGGAATACACAGATATTCTGATTCTGCCTAGTTTATAATTCCTAGTGATTAGACTATTAACATTACATGGGTATTTAAAAACCCAACCCGATTAACATACATTTTATAAGAGTGTCCAAAATAATGATAAAGGAGACTGCCTGTACAACCATCATCAATATAAACAAATATTTAAAAATTGCCAAGCTTAACAAGAATAGAGTACAATATTGGTAAGTGGGCTAATGCTAACATTAAAACACATTTGTCAAACAAAAAGGTGTTTAAGCACCTTTTAAATACCATAATAGAGACAAAGGAAAGATGAAACAGCATTCTGAGGACAGGTCTCTGAAAACCCAGAACCTGGAGATCACAACTTTAGAAAGGAGAACAGAAAGAATATCCTGCTCAGAGAAATCCAAGGAACTAAACAGGATACTAAGAGAAAGAATGATAAACTAGAGAGTGCAGTGGGAGGTTATGACCTGAGCAATATAAATGCAAGCATCAGTAGTTTAAATAGAGAGCTAGTGAAGAACAATGTCTTGCAGTGAAACATGAGGATAGTGTGGAAATTCTGAGCAACAACTGATCAGAATTAGGAGGGGATAGAAAAATTAGGAACATGCTAGGATTATTTAATGCTTGGAAAGATTGAGGGCAATAGAAGAAGGGGACGACAGAGAATGAGGTGGCTGGATGGAGTCACTGAAGCAGTAGGCGTGAACTTAAATGGACTCCAGAAGATGGTAGAGGACAGAAAGACCTGGAGGAACGTTGTCCATGGGGTCGGACACAACTTCGCAATTAACAACATAACAACAAGGATTATTTGTAATAATATAAACTTGAAAAAGTCCATAATGCTTGAGAAAGTTGAAGGGAAAGAAGAAAAGGGATGGTCAGTGGTGGATAGATTGTATTATCACACCAATGAAGAGATCAAAAAGGCCAAGTTGAAGATAAGCCTTTCGGGAAATCACACAGTTGCTAAGATTTGATAATAACTTTATGGTACTTAAGATTGTAACAGCCCAGGAAATAAGTGTATGTACTTAATTATGTACCAATAAAATTGTGGTCTGCTCCATAAAAAAAAAACTCTACGGATACTCATCCAATAAAAATTAGCTACCTGCTGCAAGATCAAACACAATGCCCATTGATTTCCATTGAGATTCAGAGATTGCAAGTGGGAGAAATGGAGACAACCAGGAAATAAATAAAAGGAAACAAAAGAGGATGGAAAAGATCTGGGCTGAAACCTTACAAATCTTTTTTCATATCCTTAACTAGGCTTGAAACCATGAGAGGATTTTCAAGATAAAATTATGATAATACATTCTGTCCCTTATCAAGGGATAGAGCAAATAGGGGGGGGGGGTTGTGTTTTTTTTGTATCATTAGCATTGCAGTGTTTGGAAATCCTGATCATGAATCTACTAATGCAGAGGAAGGTTTAAAGGTTAAACAAGCTGTTACTGCAAATGGAAAAATTCCTGGGTCAGTAATCAGCCATGCAGTACAATGGAATACTTGAAGATAAAAAGGAGTCGAAGTCTTAACTGGGAAAACAATATCAGATTGTTTGTATATCAAACACTCGTGTCAGGTCTGAAAAAAATATGATGTAAGGCATTGGAAGTTGGTTACCAGAATATAATTTTATTAAAAATGTAGGCATTATTTAATGTAATTTATATAAGTTATGAGTGCAGATGAAAAGGAAAATTACTATTAAAACAATGCTTTTCTGCTTGTAAATTGTTTTCCTTTGTAAATATTGTTTGCTGAAACAGAAGTTGTTCTGTTACTAGTTTAAAAATTAGTCTTACAGAATTCAAAAGAATTGAAATTGAGCTAGAAATTATAAAAATGTAGAAAGTCTCAATTCTTTGAGACAGAAGTGAAGGAAGAAGTAAGTAAAACCTCAGTTTAATGGACCATTTGGACAAGAGGAATATCTGCTAAATCTAAGTGCCCATTAAATCAGAAATTGCATTGATTTGCATTCTTTGTATAATTATGTAATGTAGATGACCTCATTTGTAGTAAAATGCTGATTATATATACATTAGTCCAGTAAATACGAGTGAAGTCCAAATAAAGAAGAAAGCTTATTCCAAAGTCTATTAAATTGTGGGATTATTCAGATATTATTTTAGATGGCTTACTTATTTGATTTGTTTTTTAAAAGTTCCATAAAATGTTAATGTTGCCATTAGTAAATAGTAAAACAAATTAATGTTGATATGTCCAGTGAATAAATACCAGCATCATATCAGTTTACTGTCGCCAATCTTTCTGATTTAAGTAAATTGGTTGAGAGGGAGTCATCCTTGGACAGGTCTCCATTTCAAAGAAACTCCAAGATGGCTGGAAGTGTCCTTCTGTGGCCAGAATGGATCTGAACTGGAAAAGAATATGCAGGCTCTGTTACCTAAAGGGAAATGAACTAGATGTTGACTGACTACTGTCTGTCAAAGTTAGAGCAATTTGAAATTTCCCTGAATGTATGAGAACAAAAGCACATATACTGAAAGCCTTAGGATTCAAATTAGAAGAAAAAGATCATACTGTTACTTGAGGAAAAATATAAATACAACAAGCTTGCAAAAGCAGAGAGTAATTATAAATACATTTTCATTGGGACTTGGATAGAATTCAATAACCATATATTTTGTTATTGATGTTATTCAAGATCTTGATATATGTGATTCTGATTTACATTTTAAATGTTTTCTTTCAATCTTTGCATGTGATTTCCTGGCTTTTGGTATTTAGCTGTTTACAGGAATTCATATGTAAAATCTCAACAGAAATTATCAGATAAGGCAAAACAACTATGTATTCAAAAATCCACATAGCTTTCTTTTCAGAGCAAATGTTCCTGATTGAGGCTTTATTTGAAGTTGCTTGAATATAAGCAAGTAATGTTAGTCCTTCCTCAACTTACTTTTCCCCCTGGCATTCAACCTGAATATAAATTAAGGCCATTATTCCATGTTCTGCATTCAGAAATGAAACGGTAGCTAATTATTTGGGAAGTCCTGTGATAAATCCATCAAGTTCAAAATCCAAAACAAGCACACTGGAGGAACTGTGGCTGAAGGACTCAAGGTCAAAAGCAGATTTCCATGTAGCAAGGGTTTTGGCAAGCTGGGGCTTATGCACACAATTCCCATGGATGCACAGTGGGCCAATGAGTATGCTTGCCCAAAAAATTTTGATCCCACCAGAGCAGAGTTCATTCAGATGCATTTGTTTGTTTGTTTTTCACATTTATACAGCTGCCCATTTCACAAAGCTAGTGACGCTGCAACAAAGGTAAGTAAAGATCAGGCTTAATTTTCATCACAATAGACTTCCAAATAACCTTAACTAGTTCAGCTGTTTATGTATTTAGTTGATCAGTCCTATCTCTCTTTGTCTTCTGTTGTTGTTTTTTTACTCTCAAAAATTGTATTCATAAGGACTGCATTGAGGAGGCATAGTCTACTGATCCAGGATGGGAACTGTGAGAAATACTGCTGATTCAGGATAGATGCTAGGTCTAGGACATAATGTGTCTCATTGTTGGGATGCTTCCTCCTTATTTAAAGAAAACTCTTGAGAAATGATCTTGATGGGCAACATTTCTTCAGTTGTGTGAAATATATCTGTCCATAAGCTTCTCTTTTTTTTCTTTTTTTTCTTTCTATTTTGAAAAAAGGATAAACTTATCTTGCTTGGTCAACCCCTTTTTAGGACATGCTTTCAACTGTGGCATCATTGGGTACTAGCATTCGGTGTGTTGTCTAGAAAACACTGATGAGACTGAAACTATTCCCATTATTTGGGTATTTAATGCCAATTTAATCCCTATTTATAGAACCAAAGATCTCCAAAGATAACAATCTTATCCATCTCTTAATTTCTACCATTATGCTTGAATGTATATCAAATGAATATATGCTTGGTAGCGAATAGAGTTTACCTATTCATAATCTTGTCCAGGTAACAAAGTAATCATATCTATATCCTACTATAGTAAAGGCCTTGTTAAAGTGACTAAAACTCCATCTAATATTTAGAACCTAAGTTTAAAGTTAAGTATCTCCAGAAATGTTATGCTATGAAGCAAATGATGCCTTTTGTACTGGTGGCCCTTGCTTAATGACCACGCATTCAGTGACTATTTAAACTTTCGACAATGCTGAAGAGTCATGGATATGACTGCTCCTTGGAGTTCTGGTTATTGCAGCCTCCTTACAATAGTGTGTAACATGGTTACACACAATCATGTGCCATGTGGCCACCATTTGTGACTTTCTGCTGCTTCCCTACTGATTTGCTTGTCAAAAGCCGGCAATGATCACAAATGGTGACCATGTGACATCCTCATTTAACAACTCACAGTGATTCACTTAATGATAACAATTTGGAGTGCCAGAATTGCTGGCACTAAGCAACATGGTCATGCAACATCACACTGTACAACTGCATTGTTTAGCAATGGCAATTCTAAACCCAATTGTCCTTGTTAAACGGGCTACCTATATTGCCAGAGAATGGACATGTG